CATTAGTAAAACACTTCACCTATGTATTTAATTCGTAAACACTCCTTTAAATTACGTGTAATAAATTCCAGCCTTGTGTGGCTTTTAGTTTAAAGGGCATTTAAGGCTGGAAATGCTGTATTTACCGACACTCGTGGGTAGACAGGCACCAAAATGTGGCTATGGTGTAGCCTCCCTTGAGCACGACCAGAGCTGAAACTTCAAAAACCGAATATTATTTATACACATCAATTATACATCAATTAATCTCACATGAAAGTCTAGCAGAGCCGACGTCTCGCCGGTAGACGCGTCGGGAGAGAAAGAACCCACCACCAGCGGGGCAGCAGGGCAGTCAGAGCGGGCAGAGAAGCTCTCGGTGCCCCGCCGTGTGCCAGCCTCGATGCCCGGTAGGATTTGGGAGTCCTCGGCTGGCCCGGGCCGGTGTGTGCGTGCGTTCCGCGGAGGGAGGGAGGGAGGGAGGAAAGGAGGGAGGGGGTGGCAGCGGAAAAGGGACAAAAAAGCGAGCTCTTCTCCTCTATTTTGTGTGTCAACTCCCCCCCTCCAGCACACACACGTTTATCGTCCGAAGAACCGTGGGGAACGAAATGTAGCCACAAAAATAGTCGCGGGGGATGAAATATTCAGCAGTTCACCGCTCTCCCCGTCTCCCGTTGTTCAGTGTCAGCGCGGTGTGATGTCCGTTTAGACCGAGTTCCCTCCTCCTCCTCCGGACGAATGGCAGCTACCGATACGGGACAGACACGCGTTGTTCCCCTCCAAAATGTCGCTTGTGATATATCACAGCGAATAAATTATTTATTAAATCCCCACCAAAAGGGGAACCGGGGAAGCCACATAGGCTACATTCACTTGGCTGAACTCCAATGTGAATCAATGTGTTTAACGTTATAATTATTTTATTTTTATTTTTACCGGAGCCGAGAGAGGGGGGTCTATAGCGGAGGGCGATTCAGGCACTCCATCTTTAGCCGACATCAACAGGTCATCCCGGGACACAAATGCGCTGCAACTGTGGGCGAGACAGACGGATGGATCCGGCATGGCGAGGGGAGAGAGGATAGGAGGGGAAAGGAAAGTAGGGGGCTGGCTGTAAAATCTTAACCCGTTTACCGACAGGACACCATGATATTGGGCGAATCAACGGCTGTCTGGTGTTTTTCAAATGCAGCATGGCACTTGGAAAAAAAAAACTGGCTCACTACCAAAAACACCCAGTAGTTTTGGAGAAAGTTCAGGAATGTGGGAGAAAGAAAGAAGAGCGAGGAGTGGGGGGGGGGGACTCATCAAGTCACTCACCGATGGTAAAGGGGGGACAGCCCGCGGCGGTTAATGAGTGAAGCCGGTGAAGTGGTTAAAGTTTGGTCTGTCCCCATCAGCCCATCCCCCATAGTAGCTAGCAGAACTTTACCACCTCCCTCCCCTAAAGAAAAACAATAAAAAAAAAAACAATAGCTTAACCCCCATTCACTTCAACACACAACCGCAGACCATACAGCACTCTATCCAAATTCACATCCGAATTCAAGAAGCCCAACACACACACACACACACACACACACACACACACACACACACACACAGACACAGTTCGGGACTCGGACGACCGACCGACTCGTCTCGCCGGCCGAGCCCGAACCGTTGTACTCGGTGACCCGCCGTGCTCAACTCACCCCCTCGGCTGTTTATCCGTTGGAAAGTGTTTCAATGGAGGAGCAGCAGCAGAAGAAGCGGTCTAGTGTCTCCCTCCGCCTCGCTACAGGCAGCCATTCATTGTGACTGTATGCTGTGTGTATGTGTATACTGTGTGTATGTGTGTGTGTGTGTGTGTGTGTGTGTGTGTGTGTGAGTGTGTGAGTGTGAGTGAACCAGCAGCCGGAGCACGCACACAACTCATGCATACACATACATACCTAACACGTGCGCGCGCGTGCTCGGGCTCACGGGCACGCACGCACACACATGCAGGCGAGGAGGAGAGCGCAGAGCTATCGAGGAGGGGGGGGGGGGCGCAGGGGAGCAGAGCGGGGATTTTTTTTTCTTTTTTTTTTTTTTTTACTCTCCCAGGGGTTGCAGACAGATCGCAGAGCTACCGATCGACCAGACAGACAGACAGGTAGACAGACAGACAGATGGGGAGGCAGCCTGCATTTTCTCATTACTTTCACCAGTGCTGTAACGAATTAACACTGCACCTTATGTTTTGTAATTCCATACCAATTGTGAATCATGGTAAATTGGGTGTGTGAATGTAACTGCAACCTAATCCAAAATTATTATAGGTGCTGTCAAAACCTAATCTTCCTCTATTAAACTTTTTTTTTCCCATTAAACTCTCACTGGTAAATTCATGTCAGCCATGTGTGTGATAATCTAACAGCAAAAATAAAGGTGAGTTTACCTTGGTGGTTGACACAATATAGACCTGAATAAATCCTCACTTTTGTCACCAAATCCCTTAAATAGCAGGCTGAAGGTAAATTATAGGCTCACTCCACATTCAGTTTGTTTTCCTCAGCATTACTAAAAATAACTTGGCACAGACACAATCATTTGGATGAGTAATAGCAGGAAAGTTGACTTGAACGTGGAAATACTGAGATATTTATCCAGTCAAAACAATGGTGTGACATCTCAAATTGATGTTGTTTAGGTTGTATGTGTTAATTAGATGTTTTATAATATTTATTTTCATTTCATTTATATTATAGAATATTATTTTATAAGAGTAAATGAGACCAGAAACATTATATTTTTGGCGGGGATACAGTGTAACGAGTAATGGTAATAAAAGTAAAAGTAATTAAAATACATTTGCCAGAGTAATAGATTACACGTTTGAGCCCACGCACCGCTGCGGGCAGGTAGACAGGCAGCGTCCCCAGCCGACCCGACTGTCTGAGCCCCACCCACTAGTCCACCCACTCACTCACTCACTACTCACCGGGGTGTCTTCTCCCTTGGGTGGTGTGGAAGCGACCGACTCCCTCCTGCCCGACACCGCTCGGACCGTGAAGCCGGGAGGACGGGCGGTTCGATCCCGCTGTCTAACGTGTGTGATAGTGCGTCTAGACTCCGGGCAGGTGAGCCCTCCGGGGCCTCCAGGCGCTGCGTACAGTGAATACTAAACAGGATGAGACTGCATTCAGGCACGGCACTGCGCTCCCGCTCTCTCTCCCTGTCATGCCAAATACTATTAACTCTATAATTCTCCTGTGTCAGATGTATAGCGCCACGCTCTCTGGGCGTTTATAGTCACAGCGCCCCCATCCAGATGTTCAGGCTTGTGTGCATCATACAGTAGAGCCAGATTTTTTTTTTCCCACCCACAGTCATCCATGTCCCGTTTTATGGGAACTGGGTGCAAACCACTAAATAAAACAAGATGATGGTGGATGTTCTAGTTTTAAATGTGGAATACTTGGTTTTCAATGTTGTGCATTTATCCCAGACAGGCTAATGTATGTGAGACAGGGCAAGTGTTGCATGTAAATGAAGCAACAAACCCCCAACCACCACCCTAACCTTTACAATAAAGGGTTTATCTCTCTTTTAATATTTGGATTTTTCATATTTTATTTTTTCAGGTAACTATTCAACTATTCTTGAACATGAAAGTCTAATAACTTTTATAAACTTGGAGATAACTTCTGAAGCCTCTGTATTTTAATTATTTTTGCCTTGTGTTTGGTCACATTTAAACACACTGAGAAAACATATTATAAACTAATTCTGTTTTCTTATTTGTAGTTAGTTCTTTATGTTAAGTAGTAGTACAGAAGTAGTTATTATCAGCAAAAAAAAGTAACAAAAGTAAAAGTATGCAGCCTGACTGAAATAAATGCAAGGTAGTCAAGTATGAATTATAATATTTGTGGTGGAATAGAGTTAAAAAGTTACATAAACTTCAGTATAATACAAGAATAAATCAGGATTTGGTTCCATTACACCACTGGTGTTAAGATCACAGGCACCTCCTATAGGGGGCAAATATGAGCTGCTGGGCTCCTGTAGTGACCCCCCCAGTCCTCCTGTGCAATTTGTACAGTTTCTGTTTGTTGTTTGTGTAGAGTTACTATGGCCAAAGGTTTAACGTGTGCTAATTTGCTTTGATATACAGTATTATTTCAGGAACATGCAACATACAAGCACAACAGGGAAATATGGAGTTCTTAAAACAGGATTGTGACTGTGTGACTCATTCATCCAGACAGGTGAAGCAGCTCCTGCTTTTGGATCCTATCATGTCAGCTGATGCTTAATGGTGAATAATCCCAAAGATTTTTTTTAATTTAACAAACTTGGTAACACACAGTAACTCTGCAGCTTTCAGGGCCTCAGTAGTTCTGAAGGTCTGACATGTGCCAATAATAAATTGTGGCCCCTTTTTTGAAGTAAGACCTAAAACCAAAAATCAGAATAATGAGAAAAAAAAATATATATGTATGTAAATATATATGACAAATGTTTGTTTATTTTGCACATTGAAGAACAGAACAGAATCAGTGCAAGTGAGATCACACATTCACACAGCCAATCTATTTCATCTATTGTCCTTAAACAGCATCACATTCCTGCCATAACGACCTAAATTCACTTTACTGTACACTGCGTGAGCATTGACGTGGATTGACCTTATTTTCTCAAAGGCAGTTTTTATCTCCTCACATTATAGGTTTGAGATATTCTGGTTAATCCATACGCCTATGTTTAGCCTCTTCATTATAATGCATTACTAACTCCAGGCACGGTGAGATTAAATTAGATTATTCATGAAAGCGGACTGATGTGTTTTCCAGTTTCCTCACATGTTCGCTGCGGGGGAAAGTAGGCCAGGGTGTGCAGCGGCTGACTGATCGACCCTCTCTCCCTCTTGTCCTTACATTACACCGTTACCCTGACATCACACGGCCCTGCCGGGGGAGCGGGGGAGGGAGCGGGCACGCAGCTTCTCGCGCTCTCGCTCTCTTCTGGCCGCGCAGGCTTCCGTAGATACGCTCCAAACATGGTGGCTCCCATGTGCTAACGTGAGAACCAAACTGGAAACAGAGTCTACACCGGAGCAGCGAGGGAACAGACACTGTACAGCCACCTGGATCACTTTTACAGGAAAACCTCCGACGAAGTCGAAGAGCAGCGTCCGCCACAGTTACAGTTGTCGCAGGTAAAACGTAAAACGACGCCTGTTTAGCCTAGCTAGCAAACATGCTAATAACTTTCCTGGTATGATGTGTGCAGCAGTAGCACAGGTTTGAGGGCAGTTTTCATGACAGAGTTTGCCTTCATTTAGTGAGTTAACTCAAAGTAAGACACATTTTTTGCTCCACTGTAATGGCGGCCGTACTGACGTGTCGACTCAGTGTTGTTTAATTGAGAAAAAGAAAAGCTAAAGGTGCTGGAGGTAAGTTAAAGGTACAGCTCAGACCTTTACAAATCCTGCTTAAGCCCTGGATTGACGAGTCCTGAAACGGCTAGTTAATTAATTGATTAGTCGATGGACTTAACAATGGTCAACAAAACTTTATATTTCTATCTCTGAGGACTTGAAGCTTTTCTCTTTGTTGTAAACTATAGTGTTGAAGGTTTGGCTGTTGGTCGACTAAACAAGCAATCTAACACACCACCATAGGCACTAATGTGATGATGGGGAATTTGTCAGCTGTTTTCTGATGCTCTACACACTAAAAGATGAATTGATCTAACCAATAATGAGCTTAAGAAGCAATTCTTGATCTTGAAATCAGAAGTTGACAAAACAATCTTGCCACGGTGTCAGTTTAGTGAGTGGGTTCTTGAGCTTTTGATCCATGGTGACGGGACAAACTCCATCTGTTGAGTTTGCCATCAGCAAGTGGTTTCAGCTTTAGGTTGGGTGATCGTGCTAATGTCCTTCCATATATTCATATCATGACAATCCCTTCCTTGAAATACTGTTGCTCAGAGTGCTCATTGCTAAATAATATCAAACTAATGTAACTGAAGTCTGTCAGCATGAGACCTCAAATATTAGGGAATGGAACTAAATTAACATGGTTTTTGTTGTCATATAAAACCAAATAAAAGGTTACTCTTATTTGTGACCTGTAAAGAATAAACAGAGTCTTGCATCAGAGAATGAATCACGCTTTTTTTATGAACATTTATGATCTAATGGTGAGATTTAGCTTCTTTCTTTGGACATTTTGCAGCAGTCATGTGTTTTATTTGTATTTTCCAGGCACTGCCCCTTTATGCTGGTGAAACCAGCTCGCCTGTTATCCCTCATCATCTCCAGTCACCTGCATCATTCTTGCACCTTCTCTGCTAGACAGACACTTCGGTGGAGGCTACGCAGTGCTGCTGCTACTCTCAGCAGGGGGCTGAAATCTATGGAGCCCGCAAAAGCCTCCCATGACTCAGAGGTTCCCACTACCAACCCTCCACCTACGTCTACTGGCTCTTCAGCAGATGTTGTGATCTCAGCTCCCACAGACACAGCATGTGACAAGGAGGAGACGCCTACTGTGGGTCTTTTACCAGGGGAGACGGTGGTCAAGGAGGGCAAGGCGTCCATCTTGTTTCCCAGCGCAAATGAAGTGTTTTACAACCCAGTCCAGGAGTTTAACAGAGATTTGACGTATGTATAAACCACTTTAAACCACAGACATGAGTTTCCTCTGATTAATGCAATATGAAGTGAATCAGTTCAGAGCAGGTCATCAGTTTGGAACAGTACACTGTAGAGACAATAAAAAACAATCATTGGACAGTCGGCATTATGCTTTCCCTATGCGTATCCCTGCAAAGTACAACAATGTTCTAAATGTGCTATTTTAAAGTGAAACTTCTGCTGAACACTGATAAAACGGAGATAGTAAATGGTAAATCACAAGTAGAGATATCACCAGCCAGCTAATATTTTGATATGTATGCTAACATTAGCTAACATTAGCCATCTACCAGACCACCTAAGCCTGTAGTGGCAAAAACCTCCGAGTGTACTGAAAGGAACAATGGCATGTTTGCTCATGAACTAAAGTTTGAATTTGAGATTGTTTTATTTCTTCTCCCAAAAGTGACGCAATCTTTCTTTAATAATAGAAAATGTTTTAAAGTGTTAATCTTCATCACGATATGTTCAGAAATAGATGTGGTGGAGAACAATCATACTGACTGTTGGTGAAACTCTAAACCTGTCAGGTTTTGGGTTGGTGGGATGAATTGTGCATAATTTTAAGTTAATCGGATAAGTTAAATCCTGTTGTCATAGCAACACTGATAGACAAATTGCAACTAGATTTAGCGGGAAATACAGACAAAAATGAATTTAGCCCTCATGCCTCACAGTAATGTAAGCAGCCCAGTGGCCACATGGTGGCGTAATGGGAACCAAAAAACAGGAAGTTGTGTGTTTTCCCCACACAGAACTTTTCATCAAAGTTTGCTAGTTTTTGAGATGTTCTGCTAAACAGGAAACAGTTCACGTGACTGAACACCAACCCTCATTGCTAAGGGAAAACAAGACACTTCGACTTGGTCTCACATGTCATATTTTTGATTCTGCAGACATATTTTTCTTCGCCTCCCCCAATTTAAACTGTGTGATCTTTGTCACTCAGTCACAGTGAACCAGTAATACATCAAGACCACTCTACAATAACCTAAGAATTTAAACCGCTGGTTTAAATCACCAGTTGTGTTTGGAGGAAAACAAATGTCATGAATATTTATTAAGCTCTGTTTTTTTTTTTTTTTTTACCCTGTTATCCTACCTACAGTCCATGTTTATATGTATGAGCAATCCTTTTTCTCTCTTTCCCTCTCCAGATGTGCAGTGATCACAGAGTTTGCCAGAGATCTGCTGGCTCAGCGGGGGGTGAAGGTGGTGGTGCCCGGAGAGAAGGAGAGGGTGGTGGTCTCTCTGGCAGAGGAGACGAACGAGGCCGATGCACAGATGGAGGAGAAAAACGGAGCAGAGGAGCCAGCTGTGACTGCTACAGTGGGGGAGAAATGTGAGGTACGTGGGATTGATTTCACAGTGTAATGACCATGGAGCAGATTTTTATTGCTCTGTCTATCTCAGCCAGAAAAATCCCCATGAATGGGGGGAAAAAAAAATCCATTTAAAAAATATGTGTGCAGCTCCTCCAATTGAAATGTGTCAAATTATTTCTCTGTGTTAAAGTAATTTATCTAGCTGTAATGAAAGTGAAGTGTTATTGTCAGTACTATCACTAAATAAAGGTTATACAATAAGTAAGATACACAATATAAATGATACCAGCACAGCATATAATTGTTGACATAACAAGCTTACTAGTGTGGAGTCAAAGGGTGGAAGATCTCAGTGATGGTGGTAGCTGATGGGGATCACAATAAACATAAACAGTCTACAAAACTCAACACTAAAGAAATTAAAGGCAGCCAAAAAGAAATCATTAATCCAGTTTTGTGACGCTGAACCACCTGCTGCACTCCCCTGACTCTGGCCCTGTAGTTCAGAGCAGTATCAGGATTTAGTGGTTTGTTTTCCACTGGGGCTTCTCATGCTAAAAATATGCACACTGATCCTGCTGGAGCAGTTTGGATCAGAGCTTCCGGATAATTTCACACTCAGCTGGTCCCAAGTGGTAGAAAGAGGTAATTAGATCATTTCATGAAACTTTGAAGGATGTTAGGTTGAAATAATGTCATCGATGATCGGTAAACACACCTGAGAGAAAAGTTTCTTCTCCTTAGTTGGTTAGTGAGGTGGCAATACTGGTTATTATGGTACTATTCTGGGATAGTTTAGCTTTCGGCTGATTACTGGTAAAAGAGAAAACTTTTGGACTGTGACTAGTTCTAAAGAATTTGGCTCTTGTGGGAATATGTGCAGCTTCTGAAAAGTAAGAATATTACAACATAACACTTGGCAAATAAAGTTGGCACACACACAAAATGACTTTGTTACTGCAGCTTTAAAGGTCCGTATTATAAAAAGTCTAGGTTCTATATTAATACTGTGAAAGTATCAGAGCCTCAGTCCACAGAGAAATGCACACAGCCTGTATTCAGAAACTGAGCCTTAAAACCAGCCGTCAGGACTTCTGGAACTTTGTGATGTCACAACAAAGCAGTCACCAAGCCCCGCCCACCGGGACCCACCATCCAAACCTTGCAGGATTTGGTTTCTCTGAGTGTTTTTACCTGAAATCTGCTGTGTTTTTATTGGATCACTCAGAAAACAGTCAGCCAATCAGAAGAGAGGCTCAGAACTTTCTCTCCTCTGAAACTTCACTGTTTTGGTTCAGTCCCACCAGATGAACATCGAGCATTTAGCAGCTAAAGAGTTAGTGGACAAAATCAGAACATGGGGATTACGTTCATTAAACACGAGTCCAAATGAATCATAATGCTGTTTTGTGTCTGCTGGAGGTGAAAATAAGCAACTGTTTGCTATATCAGCTTTATAAGGTGATAATATGTCTGTTGTGTTTTGGCATTCATGTCACTTTCAGCTCGGTCTTCGTGTCCTCGAGGGACTGGCGGCGTCGGGTTTGCGCTCGGTGCGTTTTGCTCTGGAGGTCCCGGGCCTGCAGAGCGTCACCGCCAACGACTTCTCCACCAAGGCCGCGGCCCTGATCGCCAGGAACGCCCAGTACAACGGAGTTGGCCATCTGCTCCAGGCCAGCTGCAGGGACGCCAGGTAGGATGTGCTCGTTTGCTGCTGCTCCGCCTCCGCCGCGGTTATTTATCTGCTTCGCTGATTTGCTGAATGTTGGTTTCTCCCTCTCCTGTAATCATCCGATGCTCCTCATCTTCATTCATCTCCAGTCTTCACCTTTGACCTCTTGTTCTATTCATTCTTCCGCTCCGGCTCTGATCTCTTCCGTTCTTGTCTCTTCGCCTCTTTCTTTTATGAACTCTTGTCCCTTTTCTTTCACTGTCGTCTCTTTTCTCTTTGGCACGCTCGTCCTCACGCCTCCCTTCAGTCCTTTCTCCTCCTCGTGCTTCTCTGAATTAATCTGCTCTTCTTTGTAAGCTGCCCTTGACTCGTCTCATTTCTGCTCCTCTCTGTCCTTCATCCTTCTCTGCTCCGTTTTTAAATTTCCTATTCTCTCCTGGTATCTAACGTTTCTTTTCATAGATGTGAATTATTTCTTTTCACCTCCTGTTCTTTTCTGTTTTTACCCTCAATGTTTTTGTAGTATGCTGATGTATGAGATGCGAGGAAAGAAGGAGCGCTATGACGTCATTGATCTGGATCCCTACGGTAGCCCCGCCTCCTTTCTGGATGCTGCTGTGCAGGCCGTCAGCGAAGGAGGTGAGTAGTTCAGTCTGTCAATCAGTTTTCCTGTTAGCAAGCAGTTTATAGTATCAGTGCGGTTTCCATTCATTTTATATATATATATATATATATATATATATTTTTTTTTTTGGTTTGTTTTGTGAATATAAAAGGCTGATACATCTGAAAATGTATGAAATCCATTTATGTATATGTATTCCCTAGAATAAAGATGACTGATGATAAATCTTTAAATGTTTTCAAAAGGCAGATTTCACTTTCACATGTTTCCAAGAGCTGAGAACGACAGTCCAGCTTAAAGCTCCGAGACGAGGCATTTCTCACCGGCAGAGTTTTATTTAGTTTAAGAAATAGGAGAATTTTCTTTACTCATAAAGTAACACTTTCAAACAGAAATTTGAAGTCGTGACCTTCAGAGTTACATGGAAAAAATCACCTACGCAATAATAATTCTTTATCACCCTTCAAGCTGAATTATTTGAGTGGAGATGAAGAACAAAGGTGAGTTGAGCCGGAGGTGTGTGACTGAAAGAAGACTGGGTGTTGAGTGCTTCTGAGTGTTGGTATGAGGAAATTTACAGTTACTCACCAAGCTTTAGATCACAGTGTGACGCTGTGTGTTTATTGCTCGGGGCAAAGAGAAGAGTCCCACAGCACCGCAGACTCTCCCTGTTTGCGATTAATCAGAATAAATGCTGATGAAAAATGAGAGCGCTCCATCCAAGGACAATGGACGACTTTGTCATTGTCCTGTTGGTTTAAATTATTATCAACCACGTTGTTTGATGTGAGAAGAGCCGCTGTGGTGTTTACTGGCGTCTGAATTCCTGAATATTGAAATTCAAAATATTTGTGCTCAGTTTCTAATTACTGCTTCTAAATATTAGATGTTCTTCTCCACCAAGACAAACTGGTTTAGTCTCTTTTGTCCCCGTTATCTCTCCATGGTGGAGGTAAAAAAAAATAATTACCAGTTGTATTTTCTTTATTTTGGTGTCAAATGAAAACATGAAATATGTTCAGGGTTATGTGCCATCTTGTTGGACGGTTGGATCCGAGGAAGGTCGCATATTGTTTGTGGAATAATTCTTGTTTGTGTTTCAGACAAAGTTTACAAGACCGAACAGAGACGGATCTTTGGTTTTGAACGACGCCTCCCATGTTGTGCAACTGTCCTGTTTGACCAAGCTGTGAAAGGACTTTTTTTCTTTTTTTTTTTTAAATATATCTTGTTCTTTTTTGTCCTCTTCTGTCTCTCCCTCTCTCTGTTTCTCTCTCTCTCAGGTCTGTTGTGTATAACATGTACAGACATGGCGGTGATGGCAGGAAACAGCGGTGAGACCTGCTACAGCAAATACGGTTCAATCTCCATCAAAGCCAAATACTGTCATGAGATGGTGAGTACACACACACACACACACACACACACACACACACACACACACACACACACACACACACACACACACACACACACACACACACACACACACATACAAATGTAAAAATTCGCATACAGTACACGCACAGACATGTCTCCATGTGTGCACTGATAAGGTCTTAATCCTTTGTGTGTGTGTTTGAGTCCGACACAAACAATGTTGTGTTGTCATGGAGTCTGGCCTGAGGCTACATGTCGGTGAACTGTGTGTGTGTGTGTGTGTGTGTGTGTGTGTATGTGTGATGACCTTGAGCTGCTCCCTATCGTTCTGTTACTTCCCACAGTATTTTTTAAAACTGACACACAAACCTGTTAAATGATTGTTGTCTTGTGTTGTAGACACATTTCTGATGACTGCTCCAGCTTTAACCTGCTGACAGATACACTGTTTCCTGTGACAGCTTCACAGTAAAAGCCACCCTGTGGTTTTGCTAGGTGAAGACTTTTAATTTGAAGATTTAACACTGGATTCCTGTGAATCTGTTATGTGTCGGAAGGCGGACTCTGTCACTAATAATGAAATTAACCATATGGAGAAGACATTATGACAGTAAATAGAAACGGGTTCTGAAGTCATGAAAGTCTTTGGGACTACAATGTTGAATTTGAAGTTTTCTGACTCTGGCGCCACCCAGTGGTAGAAACAAACAGCAGCTTTTTTCATAGAATAAAGACTCTTTAATAATCGCATACAAATTCCACAAAGTGGCTTTTAGTGATTTTTTATTTTCTTGTGGTTTATGGGGATAAACAGAAGGACAGCAGTGACTCTTACTGTCTGATAGTTTGGCCACTGGTGTATCGAGAACAGGCCGGTGGACCAAAACATTCCTGCAAAGTTCACTCTGTAAATCAATACTGATACTGGTTATTGATCGAAAGTCTGAGAAAACTGCAGTTTTTTCATTTAGTTTAGTTTTCATGAACTAAACTCTCATCTTTTTTTATTATTATTTATTTTAAGGTGTAGGAATATTTTTGCCTTCGACTGTCATGATAACTAGAGGGTGAAATTATCCCCCAGAGATGCTCTATATTGACAAAATAAAACCCTAACCCTACATTAATGTTAGTGGATACTGAAGATGTTGGTTTTAATTAGGATACATCATGTTTTTTTGGTTTTTTTTGGTTGGAATAATTCCTTGATATGATGTGAGTCAAGCTTCAGTAGAAGAAAGAGAGGATTTCATAGATAAAGACTGTATCAGTTTAGTGTGTGTCTCTCTTCCCTGCAGGCTCTTCGTACCATCCTCCACAGTTTGGACCAGAGGGCCGGGGTGTACCAGCGATACATCCAGCCCCTGCTGTCCGTCAGCGTCGACTTTTACATACGAGTCTTTGTGCGCGTCTTCACGGGACAGGCTACAGTGAAAAACTCAGCCAGGTGCTCTCTCTCTCTCTCTCTCTCTCTCTCTCTCACGCACACACACACACACACACGTACTGTCTTCTAACAAAGGGTGTTATATGATGAAAGATGAATGATCCTGAAACTGGGTCACTGCAGCAACAAATACTAAAAGTAATGGCAGCAGGAGGACTCAGTGAGATGAAGGAAAAAAGGAAATAAAAAAAAAAAAAAATAGAAATATGTGAAGGTATAAAAACTGAATCTTGATTATGTTGATTATATAAGGAAAAGTGTGTCATTATAGCATACAAACAGGATGTGCTGTTCACATATGAACAGCTGCACAGGCACACAAACAAAAAAAACCCACAGTGTTTAAATCTCACATTGAGCGTTTCTCCTCTTGTGCTGCAGTAAACAGGCTCTGGTCTACAACTGTGTCGGATGTGGCGCTTTCCACTTGCAGAGAATGGGCAGAAGAACGAGCAACGGAAAACAGTAAGACGGCACACACTGTACAACTGGGTCTGAGGATGTTTTGCATGTGAAGGGATTAAATCAAATAACAAAAAAAAAATGCCTCAGACTTGGCGGCACATGATCTGAGATGGCGTAAAGAAAGCTCTTTCTCTTTATACATCTATAGAATAGAAAGTGGGGACAGGTAACCAGGTGAGCAGCTGTAGATTCATCTGTTTGGACAAATGACATTTGAGCTGTTGAGGCTTTCACTGGATGAATGTGCAGGAGTGTCTAGGTAATATGTTTTTTCAGAGGTGTTTGTGCTCCTGGTGTGTGTGTGTGTGTGTGTGTGTGTGTGTGTGTGTGTGTGTGTGTGTGTGTGTGGGGTAATGTTGAATATTATGTGATTTCAGTATGAAGTATTCTGCTGCCACTGGACCCCCTGTTGGACCAGAGTGTGACCACTGTGGACAGAGACATCAGGTAACACACACTGACACACAGTGGTATTCTGATATGTTTTGTATTAATATGTATTCTGTAGGTAAATATAAATATTTTAAAGGTCCCATGTTGTATAAGGTGAGATTTCCCATGTTTTTTTTATTTTTTATTATAGGTCAGGTCTAGGTTCTTTATTAATACTGTGAAAGTATCAAAGCGCTCAGTCCACAGAGAAATGCACACAGCCTGTATTCAGAAACTGTGACTTAAAGCAAGTCGTAAGGGCCTCTGTAACTTTGTGATGTCACCACAAAGCAGTCACCTCACTCAGCCATGCCCCAAGCCCCGCCCACCTGGACCCACCATCCAGGCTCACAGGATTTGGTTTCCCTGAGTGTTTACCTGAAATTTGCTATATTTTATCTGATCACTAAGAAAAACAGTCAGCCAATCAGAGGAGAGGATCAGAGCCTCCTCTCCTCTGATTGGCTCACCGACCTGTTGTTACTAGAGCTCCAGAGAGAAGCCTGAGAGAGATGTAAAACTCCACTCAGATGGTTTTTGGTTCTTAAAACCACAATTATATCTTTTTATGGATCAACGCTTCAAATAAAATACAGGGAAAGTGTAAAATATGGAGCTTTTAAATTTTCTTAGTGGATCTAAATTCATTATTTATACCTTGATTTTATGTTTTTTTCTCACAGAAAGTTTCTCTCACAGTCTTTTATTTCCTGGTGTGAACAGTGCCAAAACCTCTGTGCCTATTAGTAGTTATTACTCTACAAACACACATGCACACAGTACACGAGCTTGAAGCCTGTGTCTGTCTGTTCTGTAGCTGGGTGGACCTGTCTGGGCGGAGCCAATCCATGACTTGGCGTTTGTCCAAAAGGTTTTGTCTGCTGTGTCGGGGAATCCATCCCGATTTGGAACATCCAAACGCATCGAGGGCATGCTCAGCATGGTGACCGAGGTATTCACTTACCTTTTATACACACTCTCATAAAGGGACCTGATGTCATCTTTTGGTATTGTCGCGTAGACGCAGCCGGTTGTATCAGGTGACTTTACATTGTGTGGAAAACATATTTGGAGATATTTGTAAATTGTAAATTTACTAGCTGTTTACTTACCAGTCCTGCCAAGAGTTTCAGCCATCATTGCGTTTACAAGACAAGAGGTTATAATAAGTCCTCTGAGCAGCTGCTTCTTGAGGGACGCTACAGTGACTCGGTATCGGAAAGTGATGAGACAATGCGGCTAGGTCAGGGTTTAGCTGGTTAGCATGCTAACTTCAGTAGAAGAAAAGAAGTGATAGAAATAGAAGCCAAACAAGAGGGTTGCTTTCCACCACTGGAGACAGCGCTCAGTGAACACGCAACTTTTCTTCTAGACTGGTGAGTAAACAGCTGCTAATGCTAACGTTGGCTATGTAGCAAATGTAGCATGAAAAAAGGTTTGATAATGACCTACATGATTGACAACCTGCTTCCTGTTGTCATCACTTCTGATGTGCTGCTTATTTCAGGAGTTGGAGGATGTGCCTCTTTATTACACTGTGGACAGTCTGAGCAGCACGATACACTGCAGTACTCCACCCCTGCTCCAGTTAAGGTAAACACACACACACACACGCACCCAGCAATAAATACACAGTGTGTTATATTGGTATTTTTGACATTGGAACATTATAACAAGCTGTGATACACATGGACACAGTCTGTTCTGTGGTTGTATTGTTTGTTGGAGTCGTCGGTTAAATTAAACACCAGCACAGATAAGAACCACAGTGTTGTTGGACTGTGACTGTAGCCGGAAAACGTGAGAGAAATAAAGAACTCTGCTCAAACCACTTACTATAAATAAACAACATGAATGGATAAGTGTTAGGAGGTGAAGCAGTGAGCTAACCCAGATAAAACAGCCTGGATTATGCAACATGTTTAAAGCTGCACACGTATTTTCTTCTTTTTCTTTTTTCTTTTTTTGTTTATTTAAATTTTTATTGAATTTAAATGACATTAATACAGGGTTGGTGGTACAGTTACTGGTTCTGGCATAGACGTGAACATGGTGCATAAAGACGAGGCAATCAAAAGAAAAATAAATAAATAATATCCATATATCAACGGGGGGGGGGTCCTAATCTTTGGGCAGGATATCTCAGTAACTTCTTCAAATTTGGCACAAACGTTCACTTGGACTCAAGGACGAACTGATTAGACTTTAGTGCTCAAAGGTCAAGGTCAGTGTGACCTCACAAAACAATTTTTAGCCATTACTCGAGACTTCACACAGGAATTATGACAAAATGTCACACGGGATAGTTCATGTTTTATCTGACTCTGGATAAACAGGGATGTAACCTGAAACTAGTCTGAGTGGCGGAGGCAGACAACCGCGAGGAGGTGATCCTAGTTAACTCATGATTTCATGTTGACATTATAAATACTGTAGTTAGTTTTATTTCTCCTCAGAAAAGCTTTGTCTTGTCTTTGAGAGATATTTGTAAATATGCTACTAGCATACATTAGTCTCACACTGAATCAGCTGATTCTCTCTCTCTCTCTCTCTCTCTGTCTCTCTCTCTCTCTCTCTCTCTCTCTCTCTCTGTCTGCAGGTCTGCGCTTCTTCATGCTGGCCACAGGGTTTCCCTCTCTCACGCCCGTAAGAACGCAATCAAGACAGACGCTCCCCCTGCAGCCATCTGGGACATCATGCGATGCTGGGTAAACATCACTGATTGAGCGCTGTGTGATGTGCCTTATTGTTGAGAATCACTCTTTATTTACACCTGTGTATTTGACTGGTGGTGTGCCACAGGAGAAGGCTAATCCTGTGAAGAGGGAGAAGCTGTCTCAGACCAGCCCCGCCTTTAAGATCCTCTCCACTGAGCCCAGGTGAGACCGCACCCTACACCCGAACTCATCAGCGACGGCTCAGTGGACCCGCAGAGTCAGTGACGCTGGATGTGATTTGTTTAATAAAAGCGCAATGTCGAGACAAACCTGTGACATCCTCGTACGGGATTGTGCGTCTGTGTGTTTGTAGCCAAGAAGCCTGTTTCACTGTGAGGGAGGACGCCAACCCCCAGTCACGCAAACGCCACCTGACCCGGTTCCAGGAGAATCCTCAGGCCTTCTGGGGACCCAAAGCTCGCGCCAAAGCCAGGTAACCAACACAGCAGGACACACAAGAAGCTATCACACTTTTGAAGAGGGTCGACACATTTTTAAAATGTGTTAAAGAGTGACTTCAACTTTGATCAGGAGACTTTTCTTTGCATTTACTTACTTCATCAACTGAAGTCAGATGTTTAGATGTATACTTTTATGAACCTGAGTGCAGGTAAAATTTAATTCAAAGATATTTTAATAGCTTCTTTGGGGGCTTGTAAACACCTTCAACTACTTATTGAATGAAGATGTGAATGCTTCTCCATCTTCTTGGTTTTGCTCATCGTGATCTACTTCCTACCTTCATCTTGTTGTCTTTCCTGCCAGTCTCTCTCTCCTCCGCCTCTGCTCTTCCTCCATCTGTTAACCTTACGTTCTCTCCTGCTCCTCCTCCTCTCCTCTCCTCCAGCGGTGGCATCACTACCAGCCTGCAGGACAAGAGGAAGAAGTGCCAGAACAAGAGGAAGAACCAGATCACAGACTCTTCTCAGCTAAAAAACTTCCCCTGCAAGAAGTTCAGACAGGTCAGTTCACCTACAGACAGGAGAAGCTGCTGACTGGTTTAAAAAAACAAATCTTAGAATCATGAGATGAAGAGCATTAGGATCCAAATATATCTAACATGTCATGAAAGAAAAAAAAAAGTTGGTTTACAGGAAAGATTTTAAAATTTCTTTGAAACAAGGAGGATGAACACGAATTTCAACTGTAAACTCACTCACCTTCTTACATGTGTGGACAAACTGCTCATCACTGTGACGGTGTTCATCATCTGTCAGTCACAAAAAGCAGGTCTGTCTGTCTGTCTGTCTGTCTGTCTGTCTGTCTGTCTGTCTGTCTGTCTGTCTGTCTGTCTGTCTGTCTGTCTGTGAGAGTGAGAGTGAGAGTGAGAGATGTCTTTTGCTGTTTGGTTTCCTCCTAATAAAGTTTCAGTCGGTGGAACTTGGTTCATCGGTGGTGGCAGCTGCTGCTGCAGCAGCAGAGGTGATTGTTAACAACCTAACTTGTTTCTTTAGAAAAGATGTTTTCTCCTGGAAAACACCCACCTTTTCACAGACACCAGCTGTTGTTTCAGTCTTTCTCTTTTTATGTTTCTTGAGAACCGCTCTCTACCTCAGGTCTTCAACTACACACACACACACACACACACACACACACACACACACACACACACACACACACACACACACACACACACACAAAGTTCAGAAGAGTTGCTCGGATGAGTGGTTGTTTCACATGCTGCAGGACCTGATGCCACATAAAAAGTTCCCTGGTGTCCGTGTTAGTGTTCTATCCCTGTAAATTCCAGATATTATTGAGTTTATTTCTTGTGATACAAGGATCGTGATCGTTCATCTGGATCAGAAAAAGAATGAATTGGCTGCAGGTTTTGCATTTTTAATTTTGTTCTGAGAAGAGAAAAGTAAAAGTAGTGCAGCGGATTGAGTTCGTGCAGGTGAGGGTCGTTTCAGCAGCGTCATGTTCTTCACGAGAAACTTTCAGTCCCACAGAAGTAGAGGACGACCGTTACTTCATTATTGATTACACCTGTTATAAGTCCTCATGTCCCGGGTGGGGAAAAAGAAACTCCAGCACATTCTGCTGAATTAGTCGTCTCCGTCAGCTGCTTTGGCAGGTCGCCACTCTCTGCTGGTTTCCTGCCAGATGAACTGAACGCAGCCAAAATGAACCGTTTGGCTGCTTTTAGACGTTGTAATACAACGTCGGAGTCACCTGGCCCGTTGTTGTTGTTGTTGTTGTTGTTATTATCATCTTATTGTTGTCTGTTTTCAGGGAACATGTACAAATGGAGAAAAATGCTGCTACTCCCACGACCAGGAGCAGACGAATCAAGAGAAGATGGAATAATTCTACTGTCTTCTCCTAATTCAGATGTTTTTTTGCTTTTTTTTTTAAAATAATTTTATTTCTGTTATTTCTGTTTTGTTTTTTCTTTTTAAGTGCAGCCTGGATGAAGTGAGAATGATGTGCTGCAGATTGCATTTAGGAGGACAACAACCTAAAAGCTGTTAATATACAGAACAACATATCCACGATTCAGTTTTATGTCAGGTTCACATGTTGGGTTCCTTTTTTTTTATCACATATCAATAAAGTCCTCACTATGACTTTAAATGTTTTTTTGTCTTTGATATTTAAGGTTGTAAAGGTTGTTTTCTTTTGTTTTTTTTCTCGCCTTGAATATTTGATGGTAAAACAGGTCAGTTTTCATAAAATGCAACTTTTTTTGAGTTTTAATTAATAGTTTAGACGCAGTAAACTAACTGTTCAGTAAAACCTGCCTCCGTCTGATTGATTATGCACAGAATTTGTAACGTTAACACACAGGTAATACAGTAAGTGATAGATTTTATTGAGCTGCTTGATGATCAGTATAAAAATCAAAGTATATACACACACACATTGGCAGAAGTAGAAAAGTCAACACTTATTGCACACATCAGGCAGACAGATAGAAACATGTTGGCACCAGTTTGTAGAGAGAAAATGTTCCGGGTTCAGAGAGATTTTACTTGTATTGTCTCTTGTTGATTTTTTATTTTTTGATGTCTGTACTAAATACAAAAAGGCAGCTTCAGCTAATACTGTACAAATGCCTCCAATGAGAAACATGTTCAGACATTCAGTGGCTCTGACCGCAGCTTAGGTTTCCAAAAAACATCTGAACGTCTGGTTCATTTCGTCGTTTAAAATCGTAACAAACCGGATTTTCACATGTTTCCGGATACACAAGGCCACAGCGTTGATCTGATTTAACATTGCTGGCATTTGAACGCACGCGTGTCTGCGTTCAGAATCAACCTGCGAACACGACCGCTCATTCTTTTTTTTTAATCCGGTGCACGACAGTCCTCGCTTGGTGGAATCAAACCCAAGCCAGGAGGTCACAGGAACTTCATTTGATTGTAACTGCATCACTTATTCATTTTGTGGCTTCTCGCAAAAAAAAAAAAATCTGAAGCGTGTGATTGGCTATCTGAGGCTGACCCTGAGCAGGAAGGTTCGGATCTCCATCGGCCTCAAGGTCACCTCCCACGTGGAGGGGTCCTGGAACATCTTCAGCAGGGGCTTCTCCTCTGGAAAACAAGTACAGCTTTTAAACACGACCAGAAAGAAGCAGATTATTTCTACAAATATCCAACACTTTAAAGTAAAAACTATCAGAATGAGTCTCGTTGAGCTGCTAAAAAAAACAAAAAAAAAAACACCCTGCAGTTTACTAATAAAACTATGAAGCATAACGATGCATTTATGACTCATTACATTACGCTGCCTGTTTAATGAGTCCCTGCAGGGAGATCGTCTTTACAGTTCAGTCGACTGTAATGGTGCAGTGATTACCGCCCTCGCAGAATTAAAAGGCGTCAGTGGATTTCTGGATTCGCGCTCCTGTCTTCAATCTACGGTCTTAACTGAACACGACGCTCCGCCACCAGCCAAAGTGGTCCATCAGTGAGTGGCAGGGAGCTGGTGAACTGCCAGAGCGCTGGTGGATGACACAGATTCTCCAGCGTTTGGCTGCCTGGTGCACATTTTTGGATGATTGTCGACTAATTTACAAAAGCACAGTTTCTAGGGAGATGAGGCAGGTTGGAAGTCGGTGACAAAAATTTGAACACGGTGAGATAAATCAGCTGGACAGATTGTCACAAAGATTAGTGTTGACATTCATCATCTCCAGAGGATAAAAACTAAATTTTTCTGGTGACACCACTGACTGTTTTTTTGGCGCCAAAATTTCCACCCTTACACAAGAAATATACTGAGCACATTCAGGCTTCCCAGAGGATAAACCCTTTCCACTTTGGGCAGTCCAGCTTCCCTCTAGTGCCACCTACAGGCCAAAAAGGGTCTAACAATCTAATTTATCATTCACTTGTATTATGTATTGCTAGAAACATTGCAGCCACTTTCTGAGCTTTAAACTTCTGCTGCTTTTTTCTTTTTACATAATTGTATATTAAATGTATAATTACACATTTGCTGCGCTACGTCTTCAAGGCAGGCTGGAGGCTACAGTGACGCGACGGGCCGGGGCTAGCTGGTTAGCATGCTAACTTCAGTAGAAGAAAAGACGTGATGGAGAGAAGAGTTAACATTGGTGTATCTCTCCACCTCTGGAGACAGCTGTTGGTGAGTAAAGGAATGAAGTTTGATGCTGAACTCGCAACGTTTCTTCTAGACTGGTAAGTAAACAGCTGTTAATGCTAACGTTAGCTATGTAGCAATAGCTAAATGTACAAATAGCTCCTTTAAAAATAAAACGAGGAACTATCAGATCTGATTTGGTGCTATCATCTGTACTGGTGTGTTCCTTCAGACAAAATCTAATTTCAACCCGTGTAATCCAGCGACTGACAGGTGCGGGTGTCCCGTACCTTTCTGTGGCGTCCAGCTGAAACGCATCATCTCCTCTTTCCACTGATTGGCTGACAGGTTCAGCTCAGACACGCCCAGCACGTCCAGAGTGGAAAACAGCTTCTACACAGACAGGAAAAGACCGGATGACAGAATTAGTTACATTTTATTATATTTACTCTACTTTTTGATTTTATCTATTTAACCAGTTAATTATCTATAAAATGGCCACACAACAAGAAGCAAGAACGAGCTAATCTTATTTTTGAAGCTTAAAACAAGAAATTCTCGAGTTTTATTAACTTTCCTGCTGATCTACTTTCATTCATTAATAATCAATCAGTCATTAATAATGTAATAACATCAGCTCTTGTCTTGTCCAGGTGTCCGGAGGGTGTTTGAGCGTCTGACCTGCAGGTTGACGGTGACGGGTTGTGAGTTCACTTTGCTCTCCCAGCTCTGGAACTGATGCTCCAGCCTGAGCAGCACCGAGTCTTTGTCCCACTGCGTCAGTGTGAGGAGGTGGACAGCAGGGGGCAGCGCAGCCTGAAGACCTGAGAACTACACACAGATACAGAGACAGACAAACTGACTTTAGTCTATTCACGCAGGTCAGAGGATCCACTGACAGTCGACTCCATAAAAACCATTTAAAACTCGCTCTCAGACGCGGCCTGTTCATAGACTTTGCTAATTTCTTTTTGCTTATTCATTTTGTAATGTCTAGTAAGAGTAGAACGTGTCTCTAATTACAGGAAAACATCAGCACAACGAGAGCTTAAAACAACGCACTCTCCTGAGACGTTGAGAAATGAGAACAATGTCTGAAAATGCTAATATGTACACAACGGGAGAGAAATGAGTTCATGCAGGAGTCAAGTCCACTCAAGCAGCCAGACGGGCAGCAAGACGTTCTCACAAACTGCCTTTAGTGCTTCTGATTCAGGTCATAGAAACGCTTAATGAGCCAAACCTTTCCTTCACCCTGAACTAAAAGAACAGTAACGTAAAGTTTTTATGAGGCAGTCTGCAGTTCAGGCTCGTTTCACTAATTAAAAGAAGAGTTTAGGGCTACAACTGACTAATATTTGCATGATTAATTAATCTTAATCATTTTAACCATAAAAGGCCAGAATTTAGTCAAAAATCGCTTTTTTTAATTTGCAAGAACCCAAGGTGACATTCAATTCAATATCGTATATGGGAAAAAGCATTTTAGAGCTAATGTTTAATATTTTTGCTTAAAAGTAATAAATTATCAAATTTGTTGCTAATTAATTTGATATCTAATCAATTAATTGATTGTTTTAGTTCTAGGAGAGTTTGTACTTTAACCTCCAGTGTTAAAGATTTTACTGAAACCCACTCTACCGTTTTCATGTCTTAACTAGGACAGCACTTCATCAGGCCCCTCCCCCTCCTCACTCACCTCCAGTCGGGTGTTTGGGCTCAGATCTCCGTTGGCGAACGTCAGCAGCGGCTGCAGCACCACTTCCTGCGCCAGGGGCCGGTGTGTGTCCGCGGCGACGGACGGGGGGTCGAGGGAGAGCAGGAGGCGGCCGCGGACCACCAGCCCCTCTGGGAAGATTTGGGAGGTCTCGTTGAGCGGCTCGGCAACGCCGCGGACATCATCGTACAGCAGGCGGCGGTGGAGCTGAGGGATGAGGAGGGTGGAGTTCAGTGTGTGTGTGTGTGTGAGTCATGTTGTTTGCTCTGGTCCAGGTGAAAATGGAGGATTGGCCTGCTGTGTGTGTGTGTGTGTGTGTGTGTGTGTGTGTGTGTGTGTGTGTGTGTGTGTGTGTGTGTGTGTGTGTGTGTGTGTGTGTGTGTGTGTGTGTGTGTGTGTGTGTGTGTCACCATGATCTCCAGAGAGCCGTTGTGGATGCTGCCTCCTCCCTGAGAGCGATCGGTCACCACGGTGAGTTGGTCCACATCATCCTGAAAACCACATGTACAAGGATGAGGAAAAAACACAAGTGGAAACAAACAAACCGAAATCTGTTGCAAATCCAGAGAGAAGAGAAAGAACATGAGATAACATTATATAAAATCCCAAAACATGTTCCTGTGGTAGAAAGTAGTTGTTGTTATTCTGCAATAATAAACACCTTGATGAATGCGCGGGAGTTGATGGGGTAGTAGTTTCCAGCGATGGGCTCTGATTGCATTAGATTCCATGTTGGACGGAAGTCTTTCCTGAGGGGAAACCACACACACACACACACACACACACACACACACACACACACACACACACACACACACACACACACACACACACACACACACACACACCTCTGAGTTTCCTTATAAAACACAGTGAGTCTGACAAATGTTCCCGACGTGTTGTAGAAACAGTTGAAGTTACATTTTTCATTTGATGGATTAACTCATTTTAAATCTGAGTCTCTGAGTAAGAAAAATCTGTGAGTGAGTGAAATTCTTAGATCTCGGTCAGAGAAGCGGGACTGATCGAGACAAACGTTTACATTACGGGAGCGGATTTTACACAGCTGGTGGTTTAACTCCAGCCTGTAGGCAGCCATCTTACTTTCTCTGCAGCACCTCTCTGCCGTTGGAGTCGGTGTAGAAGATCTCTGAGGTTTTAATGCTGGTGTCTAGACGGGTGATCACCTCCTTCCCCAGGCCGTCGCTGAGGAGAGACAGAAGAAGAAAAACAAATTGTTTAGGGTCAGAATAACTCACGGAATCCGACTTTTCTAACATAAAACTTTCATATCAATACCGATTCTCTCAGTTTTATTTTTAAGCTCAGTCTCTTTACACACTCAAATGTATTTGTGTAAATAAACAGCCGATCACCGGCATTATTAGAGCTCGCTCCAAGCATGCTGCATGCTGATTGGCTCACGGATGCTAATGAGATTCACCATTTTTTTACTCCTCAGGTATCGAATGAAAAGAAAAAATCTGGATGCAACATGATGATGAGCGCACACTCACTCGATGGGCAGCGGTCCGACCGTCCACTCCAGCTCCAGAGCTCTGCTGTCGCCGTGGAGACGAACCACCTGAGACACCCAGGGAGCAAACCGCTGCCTCACCTCCTGCACCACTGAGGTCTGCAACGTGAACCGACACCGTTATACATCGTTACATTCACACTGCAAATGATTTGATTATCTCATTACACAAACACAAACAAACACAACGTCTGTCAGGTGTATTTAAAGGGTCACATCGCTCTTACACACTGGATTGGAAGCATCTCTCGTGCCACACCTGATGCCAACAGATGTGGCACAGCTGCCGTGAGCAGGTGTCAAACTAAAGCTGTCTAATTAATCGTCCTTTTTTTAATTAACCCGACATTTGCAGACGTTAATGAGGAATCAGTGCACTGAGAGGAAACTGGACCTGGATCGTCTCGGTCTTGGCCGTCCGGCTGATGACGAACGGCGTGGACGAGTTGGGCCTGAAGATGTACGCTCCTGAGGGCTGGTTACTCTCCAAGTTGTTGCCGTCACTGGCGTTGTACCTGGAACGCACACAAACACACACGTGAACAACAACAACGCCAACAAGAGTTTGGACGTGTAACGGTGCTGTGAGTTCGTTGCGTTTCTAACCAGTAGAAGTTCTGCGTCAGCTTGATGCTCTGTTTGGTCTCCAGGTTACTGAGGCTGCTCAACAGGCCGGTATCTGGGTCAAAGGTCACCCGCAGGAACTGGAGCACACGGACACACAAATACTCCTGTTTTATGTACTGGACTTATCTCCCATCATGCAATATGAAAGGAGCGCGTGATGACGCCGCGTTAAGACCTTGTTCTGAATCACTGTGGGGGCGCCAGGCTGCGCGGAGGCCGGCGGAGGTCCCGCCAGACGCAGGGACACGGAGTAGGTGCTGTAGCCCAGAGGAGGAGCCTGAACCTGGAACACCAGCTCGTTGACGGCGAAGCCCCGGTTCCTCCTCACCTCCCGAGTGGCTCTGGACACCGGAACCACCTGGAACACACACACACACACACACACACACACACACACACACACACACACACACACACACACACACACACACACACACACACAGGTTATGTCTTTTTCATTTTATATTATCACTGCATATTTGAGACAAATGACACACACAACATGACTGTGGCTCAAAGGATAATCTGACTTTAGTTTGTTTTGAGTATTTCATGAAATCCTGTCATCACAAACACTAAATCATAATTATTACTGATAAAGATTTGAAGAAATGATCTTATTTTCACATCTTATATCGATTTTTGACTAAAACAATTAATATATTTAATTGCGAAAGCTCTTAAGAGTTTAAAATGACTGTAAATTATAACATGACCACAGAAAACTTCCACTCGTAAGTAGTTATTATCCTGAAGTTGACAGAAACAATTCCTTACAAAACGTCCTGCCCTTAAAATATGAATTAAAAAATATATTTTAACTGTGAGCTGCCACACACACACACACACACATACGCACACTCACAAACTCCGACATTCACCTGACAGTCCACAGCTTTGCCGTTAGCATCAGACACCGCGTACGCTGTTCCATTGACGGGCAGCCTGACGGGCCAAGTGACGGGCCGAGCCAGAGGGTTGTACACGCTGACTGAGAACTGAGGGAGGGACAGACACAGAGGTGGGGGGTTGAGCATCATCCAGTAACAATAATGACTATTATTAATGAGATTATTTAGAGAGGATCTACTGCAGCTAAAACATGCTTCTCTTGATTTATTATTTCTTTAGTTATTTACAAATGTTTGTCGTAGGAAAGGATTTAGATATCTGTGTTTGCACAGACTCCAGCTCTGAAGGTTAAAGTTGGGTTAGGAGTTGGGGAATTAACTCTAATTAAGTTAATAACAGGAGCCGCTGGACAAGTTAGTGTGTGTGTGTGTGATTCACCTTTTTGCTGGACTCGGTGAGGGGACACACACTGATGTTGAGGTTGTCACAGTAGATCCGCTTGGCAGACGAGCCGCTCAGAGCAGCCAGACTGTTACTGACCAAAACCTGAGAGACAGACATGCAGGAAGTATGGAAATAGATAGGACTTTCAAAATAAAACAAGTACATTCAGCCAAAAAAAGCTCAAACTATCAGGACGTAATACGGAGGATTATGCTGAGCAGGATAATGCTGTGTGAAGTCTGACATACCTGACAGCGCTGCCAGCCGTTAGCCAGCCTCCTGGCGTAGTCGTTGGCCACGTGTTGCTTCTCAGTGCCCGACACGGCGTCGTGATGCTGAGCCACCGCCATGGCCTTCTCTGCCAGTGAGAGCGCAAACAAACAAGAAGCCGTCGATCAGACCACACAGAAGATCGAGTGTGATCCTTGCCTGTTGAACTCAGACACGCAGAAGTCTTTAAGCTTCTCTTTAAACTTTTCTTTTAGTGGAAGCATTCAGAATAGGTTGTCATTTATACCGATTACTCCTACTGATCTTATTCATTTATTCTTTTCACTTCTTCTCTTATTTCATTTGTAACCTTGTTAGGAAAAGTTAATCTTTTCTCACTGGAGATATATATGTGACCACAAGGGGGAGACATAATAACCTTTCTCCCTCCTGGTCTGAGTCCAGGATAAACGTTTTACAATAAAAAGGTAATAAAGAAATCTCACTCATGGTCTGGCTCTCGCCTTCCCCAAAGGGTCCCTGCCTGGAGGCGGGGCCACCGAGCACCTCCAGCTGGTTACACGTCTAAAACATGAGGAAAAAAAGATCTTTTTTTAAAAAGCCACACAGTTAAAACACGACATGTATAGTTTAGTATTCACGGTCCCAGAGTGTGAATCCAAAAGAGTTTGGTGATCCTCTGACTAGTCTGACCTGCAGGTTAAAAGTTTTCCACCTGTGAATGAACCTTTTTAATGCGCGTGAGGGATGTAAATGGATCAGTCGGCGTGAACCTGAAGCTACCTGCAGATTGCTGTTGCTGATCCTCTCGTAACGCTTCAGTGCCGGTCGGCTGGTGAAGTAGCCGGTCCAGAAATCATGAGCGCTGTCTGCGTAAGGGAAAAAGTCGTCCGTCTTCAAAGCCCTGAGTCGAGAGGACGATAAGGTCGCAGCATAAAATCCATGAGACACCGTCTGGCTGTAATTCTGATATGATACTCGTTAAAGTTAAAGCTCACACTACCAGGTGAGGTTCGCTCGGTGCAGCTCCTGGAGGTAACAGGACGGGGTGGAATAGAGCACGTTGACTTTGCTGCCGTTGGCCTGCTGGGCGTTGACGTAGTGGATCAGCTTGTCCAGGTTCTTGTACCACAGGTTGGCGTTCTCGTACTGGAAGTCTGAGCCCATGGTCATGATGATGTGATTCGTCTTATACACCGTGGCCTGAGAGAGAGGAGGAGGGATCTGTTACGAGTCTGTTCACACTCCCCTAAAAGATATGGTGTGTGGGTGTGTGTGTGTGTGTGTGTGTTGAACCTGACTGGTGGCGATTGTAAGGAAGCGCATCACCACATCATCAACATTATAGTCCTCCAGGTCAGGGTCGTCTCTGATTGGTGGGTCATCACAGGACTGGTCCCAGCAGAAGCCCTCGGGCGGGTTGTAACCGTTGGGAAGGATCCCTAGTGGATGGGAGGGGGGAGGGGGGAGGAGGTTGAGAGCAAAGGTTAGAGGATCAATTCACCCAAATTCCAAAAAAAAACATACTTTATGTTTTTTTATATTAACTTAAATTAATTCTTAAAAGACTAGAAGAGATGAGAGGAAGCATTGGTGCACGTGTCGTGGAGTTGTGTTACCGGTGAAGAGGTCGGCCGTGGGGGGGGTGAGGCTGTCCGAGGCTCTCCACAGAAGCTCCTGCTCCTTCTGCACCATCCTGTGCATCCGGTCCTGGTAGTCCAGACGGCCGAAGAAGAATCCGTCATATCCCATCTGGAGCAAAACAAACAAACAGGAAATGATCAGAGTGAAGTTTAACTGAGAAGCCACTTAACTGTGTTTCTGTGTGTTTTTTTTTCAGCCTCAGTAGAAAACAGCACTTCCTTGGCTCCGGTCTAAACTACCTGTGCAAACATGGAGGCGTGTTCACGGGCGTGGCCAAACGGGTCAATGTGCCAGGCCACCCGGGGACGACCGCAAGCCCCGAACGTCTCGTTGAGGAACCTCAGGCCTATGGTCATCTGGTCGATGACGGCGCTGTAGTGAGTAGTGGCCTCGTCACTCATGCACCAGCCCCCATTCACGAACTCCAGACGCCCTGGAGGACGGCGGAGAGGAGAGCGTTGGTCGGGTCACACACACTGAAACTCTCCCAGCGTAAACGGATCAGTTCAGTGTTGGTTCATGTACCTTCATTCACCAGCTGTTTGACCGTCTGCTGCGTGCTGGAGCTCTGCCGTTTCCACCAGCGGTAGAAGAACGCCGTCTCCACGTAGATGAACCTCCTGTCCGGGTTCTTCAACAGCTGATCCACCACCGAGTCCAGGATGTACTGCACCCCCGCATGCTGGATGTCGTTACGGTCTGCGCACGCACACACACACACACACACACACATACACACACACAGTTTGAAACATGGTAGAACTCTGAACCTTGTGTGTAAACAGCTGTATTATTATATAAAACAACATTATGTTCACATTTGCAGTCATGCACTGCTCACAAACATGTGCTCCTCCTCAAACTAAGCACCCATCCACAGAGTGTATTTAATATCTGCTTACACAATCACACATGAAATAACTCACAGAGGTCAGATGTCTGCAAAACACACAGCGGCTCTCACTTTAAAAAGACTCGTGATGCTGAAATATACGCAAACTCATCACCCCAACCACAGTAAAACTATAAAACTGTTATTACAGTGTTTACTAGTGAAGACACGCACTGACAGGAAGCACATTATAGGACCATAATACAGCCGTTTTCAACATGCTGGTTGTGCACTTGAGTCAAAACAGTGGTAACAATGGTTAATTTATAACTACTGACTGTGGATGGACGCACATCTTCATTTTGTCAATACAGCACATAGCACCAGAGCTTAGTTATCTATTAACCATTAGACACTTACAATCATTTTACCATTAAAGAGGGAATTTTTCTGGCTTATGCATCTTATAGTTGAGGTTGTATGTAACATCTTCATCTAATAATACATTAATTACTGCCCAAACTTCCTGTTATATACAACATCTGCATCATACGGCATCTCACATGAGCCACTATCAGCAGGCTAATAATCAACAATTAATCAATACAATTGATAAAGTAGAAGAGAGGGACTGACCTCCATAGAAGTACTGGTCCACGGTCTTGAGCCAGCCCACGTCATCATGAGTGTGAGGGACCAGGTGGACATTCAGCATGTTGGGTTTGGTGGCATGACATGACTGCACAAACACAAACACATAAATACAGTACGCACCGTGAACGCAACGCCGGGAAATATACAAATAGTCTTATGGTTGAGAAACGTTCAAAGTTAACACGGAAACAATGTTAAAAGTTTTATTACAGTTCATTTCCAGTCTCACTTCCTCATCCTATCTGACAGGGAGCAAAGGCGGATGAGCGAAACAGAAAGTAGCCGCAGCTGGAAACAAGAAGTCCCCCGTTTAAACTAATTATTAGTGTTAAATAAGTTAATTACACCCATTAAACAACCGGAATATAAACGCGGCAAACCTCGTATCCACATGTTGTTGTGTGTTTTGTTTCCGGTCCGAGAGGGAAACTTAAAACCGCACTGAAGAGAGACAGGAGAGCCACAGCCAGCTGCAGCGCTCCGGCCGCCATGTTGGAAAAAAAAAAATGAACCGCGAATCATATGACATCTGTTTATGTTGACAGGGGTCACGTGACAACACTTCCGCTTTTGTTTTATGTCCCTCAACTGAGACTCTCAGGCAGCACTGCAAAAAAAACAAAAAACAAAAAAAACAAACAAACACAAAAGCCACAACTGCAGGTAGAAGGAGAAGACAAAGAGCGTCTGTGCAGTAAGATGAGTCACTCCATAGGTAGAAAGATGGTCCAAAAACACGGACAAATATTATATATATATAATATAGTTCTTTGTAGTCGGTCTTTTTGTACTAAGTACTAGATAAATACAGGATATACTAGCTCTGAAATTAATTATTTTTTTTACTATGAATACATTTATGAAGTTTTTTTTTTTTTTTTACTGATAACATGATTTATCAATTATTCATTAATCTACAAAATGGTTTCAAAACTTTCACAAGTCTATGCAGGTGACATTTTCTTTCCTTGTTCTGTTGGACCTGTTGTACAAAACCTAAATATATTAAAATAAAAAGATAAAAATAACATTCAATAATATTGAAACTAGTTTATTGATCACTAAATGTCTTGTTGGCTTACATATAACGTAACAAAAACAGTTTTGAATAGTTTATAAATTAAAGCAATAATATATATATATATTGTTTTTTATATTAAAAAATTAAGTTATTGCTGTGCAGAAAACATCAACGATCAATAACTGGATGCGCATAACCATAACTTCAGCTTACTGCACAACAAAGGTAATATTTACACTGCCTGTGGTATAAACTCCTCTCAGATAAATCCTTATTTATGTGTCCTAATGTTTGCGTTTCACAATAAAAAAAATTAAAAAACAAACCTCAGAGTACCAATTCAGACCTGGATCAATTTATTGCGAGCCACGGTTGAATGAACTCATTTTGGAAAAAGCAACACTCAAGACAAATACAACATATCTTACAGTCACATTAAAGAACAACAGCGTAAACAGGAAGTGAAAATGCTACAAGGAGATGAAAAATATTTTCATGGTACAGCTTGTGGAATAATGCACTTCATGGCAAAAAAAAAAAAAAATGTTCCTTACTTTGGATCAACCTGCCAGATAAGAAAAATCATGTTGGCAAATTCAGGAATATCATTTTCTAGACCTGCTTGTGTGGAACTGTAGCTCCCATGTTGATGTTTAGCATGGCTGTAATACATTTTGATGTTTTCTGTAATAATATGTGTAATACAATAGGTGTTTCTGTTCGTATTGTTTTGATGAAGCTCGTAGATTATTTTTGAACGTGCCGTGAAAAATATGTAGTTAAAGTTGATAGATTATATATAACTGTGCAATCACTGCTGTGTCTTTGGATTCATGTAATTGCTGGCCTCAGACAGTGCTTGGTCACATGATCACAGTCCTCTGGAATAGCACCATTCAAAAAAAAAAAGAGCCTCAATGAAAAATATGGCGTACATTCAGATGGAGGACGAGGTCACTCGTTGAGCGCATCCTCGTCCCTGGTCATGCTACAATCATACTGCGTCCTGAGGGAAACAGGAGTCAGTGGAAACTCAAGTCCTTGGTCTGATATGTTTCCTCACATGTAATACCCATCTGATACGATTGAACGCATATGAGGTAACAATAGGATTTGACTTGATTAGATATGATCGGATATAATTGGATTGGATTTGGAAGCATGCAAAGTACATTTCTGTGATATTCCCCCACTCAAACATAATTAACCAGTGTTACATATATATATTATAGTATAAACATAAATATATATTATTTATTATTTATTGCCAATTCATAGTGGCTTCCCTGAATCAGCGTTAGCACAGTGCAGACAACAATGGAAGTTATAGTGTGTCTTTTTCAAACTCACTCACTCATACTTTAGAGTATGTAATCATATATTGTGAATGAATGAGTTATATGCTGACACACACACATATATATATATATATATATATATATATATATATGATAATATAATGATAGCCAGGCCAAGCCATTTCCCTCTGCTTCCAGTCTTTGTGCTAAGCTAAGCTGCTAGTTTATGTGCCATATCAATAGTCATATCTCCATTTCATTCATGATATTCTACTGTTAAGATAGACCTGCAATGTGTTGTGCACAAAAACACACATAAAAGAAAATGACCTCAAATGGCCTCACAAAAAAAAAAAAGAAGGCACACATTACCCAAAGCAAAACATTCACTACAATATGGCATTTGATTTCTCTAAATCTGCAGGTCTCTTTTGCAGGTAACATTTTCATGATGAGAACTGAGGGAGCGATGCAGAAAGAAATTTCTTGCTGTGGGTAATTCAAGTAGTCACAGGAGCTAAATATTCAGCCTGTCATTGTTGGGAGTTAAATAAAATAAAAATCCACCCTCTGATACAAAACATTTCCCATAAATGTACACAACTAGTTGTTTTTTTGTTTACCACAAAGAAAAACAATGCAAATAGTGGGTGAATACTTTCTAGTATCATACCTTTAAAGTGGATGGTTTTCAGCAAGTCTGTGTTGATTAGGCCTTTTTCACAGAAGACACTTTAACATGTCACAGCTGGAAAAGCACAGGTGTAAACAGTGCAACGCTGGTTTCTCTATAAACTTAGTTCTTTCTGAATCAATCTACATTTGGGTCGTGGGTAAAGCAACGACATGGGGGCATCTTTCTACTGGCTAACTTTACTAACTCCACTTTAATGTCCACTTTTCACAGTGGGACAACTGAACACGGTCATCAATCACCTCACTGCCTCACATCATACCACTCCGCCGATCTCACTTAGATACAGGAAAGGGGATAATGTAGTTTCAAATCTTAATCAAGGAACAAAATACAATATACATGTACAGTCACTGTGCTGTAGTTACCGTTCACCTACTTCAATTACTGTCACACCGTCATGGCTTACTGGGACACCTAAACAGAACGGAGCCTTTGTAAATGTCATTGTTAATACCCGGGCTTTTCCTTCTACGACAAGTCGTAATGTACAATGCGAAGAAGCCATGCTGTGAAATAAATCCCACCTGATGCAACAATTAAAGGGAATAAAAAATTGATGAAGTCAAATGTGTGTTTTTCACCACAGACTCAGAGAGGAGGAGGGACTATGCAAAAAGACATGTATGGAAAGAGAAGACGGTTTGATTCCTGACTGTGATGCTACTCCCCCCGACGTTTTTGCTTCTGCACCAGCAACCTTTATTTTTAATGTCCTGATCCATAAGCAGAGTGAACAGCCCTTTCCTGCAGTAGTTAAATGAAGGCTGCTGGTGGAGGAGGGAGGGAAGGAAGGTTAGGCTGGGTTTCCGTTGCCTCCCTCGTTGGGGCAGATGAGCAGGGTGGAGTCCAGGTCCAGGCGGAAGGCCGGGTACAGCGGCTGAGAGAACAGGCAACGAAACGTGTGCAGCAGCACCATTGCGTCCGAAACGCTGTAGAAGGATAACGCTCCTTTCTGGCGATCCAGGAACACGCCGATCCTGGGGCAGGGCGGCGCCGCCACCGTGGTCTTACGGTTGTCGTGCCAAGCGGCGTATCCAGCGTGAGTGCACCTCAGCCGCCAGGAGTTCTCGTTGCGTCCCAGCAGGCAGGGTTTTCCACCACCTTTGCGACCGATACCTCGATAGGTGACGCCGATGTCGATCCATCCCCCTCCCCTCCACTCCACCTCCCAGTAGCTGGCACCACCAAACTGGCCCTCCCTGCACAGGACCTGGGCCACTGAATCAAAGCGCTGGTGGTGAGGGGGGTAAGACTGGGGCTCCTCGCCACAGTGGGCGCCCTGGGGACCCTCCAGGAGAATCAGAGTAGGGTGGGCTGTATCAGGATCCAAGGACAGACGACACGAAACTGGGAGAAGAGAAAGAGATGAGTTAAAACAGCCATGATGATATAATTGTCCCAGGAGGATGCTTGTTTAGCCAGTGACCAGGTGTCGTCTAATCTGTTCGTTGATCAACCAAACGTTGGTTCACAACAACTTTGATAATCAATTGATGATTTTCTTTCCATATCCAAACTGACTGGATCTAAGAATAGAGGGTTTTCTACAGACTGTCAAACCCTTTGAGGCGTATTTGTAATTTACGGCGACATCAGTTAAATTTACCCGACTAATCAGGAGTAATTTAGCGAGCAAAAATCTCAACGATTCGCTGGTTTCACAAAGTTGTACAGCTTTTATAATTGTAAATTTGATATACAGACTGTAAGAAAGGAAGAAATTTTAAGACAGGACCTTGGACTTTGAGAAAATCTTAATTTTTCAGTATTTTTTTAGTATCTAGTGGCTTTGCTCTAAGGATGGTAATGTTGGTCTATCTGTCAGTCCACGACTTCATACAATAAAATATCTCAATAACTATTGGATGGATTGCCATGAAATTTTATACGGACGTTCAAGGTCTTCTGAGGGTGAATCCTATCGACTTTGGTGATCCTCTGACTTTTCTTTAAGCTCCAACACGAAGTTGACCCTACTAAATTTCCACATATAACACAATGAATATTTCAACCGATATTCTGATTTCAGGTAATGAAATCAGTATCAGGAGAAAAGTGGACTCACTGCACTTAAAAGGATTCTGCTCGTCACACTTTTTGGTGACCCAGAATTGGTAGAAATCAGTAAAAGTGCAGACATTTCATTTCCCTGGCTTCAGATGTTTCTTTACAGTCTCTCTTCTATGAGACTCTCTCAGTTTCCTGAGTTTTTATCCAGTTCTAGAGCTGAGCAGGACACAGACAGACAGACAGACAGCATGTTAAGCCATCTACTGTTTCGGTTGACATTTTGGCACAGAGCGGATAAATGACACATACGGCCTTAATCATCCGTTGACCAAATGAATTAGTAATGCCTAACAAGGTGCTGCTACCTCTGTCATCCCGTCAGTCGGCTTGTTTTTGTCCGGACCAGGCACTGGACTTAATGACGGACCTGAATGTCATAAATACGGTATGATTGCCATCCATCATTGATGAGAGTCCAGACCGGGCTCTCAGATTTCACAGCAGGACTCTCATTATGTGCTGAATTAGAGGCATGGAGAGGATAAAAGAGAGGAAAGGATGGAAAAGGAGGAGGAAAGAGGGTCAAAGGACAGTCACACTGAATGGGTGCACCTAAGAGAGAGAGAGAGAGAGGAGAAGCGATGCAGAGAGAAAGAGAAAGGAAAAATTAAATGAAGAGGTAGAGAGTGGAAGAAGAAAAGAGGGTGGAGGACAGGCCACAAAAGAAGAAAGAAAGAACTACAGGAAGGAAAAGAAAAGTGGAGAGATGAAGTACTTACACCTGAGGAAAGCTGCCCTCATCCTCTGATCAGCCGGCTGCAGAGACAAAGAGGACAGAGGGAATGACAGCGGCACTGCTGCAAAGGGACAAATGACAAAAAAACACAGAGAAATCACGTGTTATTGAAAACGTGAAATATGGAAGTAGAATATGTACGGATAGCAAATCAGCAAGGAGCTAAATCAAAATTCAACACTCACAAAAGCACTGTGAAACTTTTCAAGGTAACAAAAGAAAACCCGTGAGGAGCCAACAGTCTGCAAATTGTAATTCACTGATTTGAGTCAGAGAGGGAACTTCATCAAATATATCGGATTGATTTTGTATCCAGGTTAATTAACACCACGTTAACAAGCAAATCCTGTTTAGTATTTGTAAAAGTATGAGGTATTACATTTAACATTAATGTCACCATGTGTATGTGAAAAATCTTTACATCTGTTTTGGTGGCAGAATTGGTCCAGATGTGGAAGCAGAATCTGACAATCATGCTGTACATGGGCGAAATTTGGGCCATGGAACCGGGTATATACTGGGCCAGAGGGAAAAGTGTGGCCCAAGTAATAATATCTACAGTCTACTAATTTTCTACAGTGCACATTTCACTATGAATCACAAATGTGAACCTGGTGGTGACGTTAGAGGAAAAGTCAGGGAATCACCAAAGATATCTGGATACCTCGTTTAGGAATCTTTAATGTTTGTACAAAATTTGCACCAATTATTTTAATAGTAGTGGAGACATTTTTGTCTGTTTCCCTCGGTCAGATCCACAGGGGAAGGAGGATGCTGTCTGCCATAGTAATAATCTAGTTACAACCACTAGATGGCACCAAAGTAAAGAATGTTCATATCCTACACAAAGTCGCTTTAATGTTAATCTTGGTTGATTTGTTAAATTAGCACCAACAAAGCCAAAATTAGGTAAGTTAAAGTTAGTTGAGTTAGTTCACCAAAGTTTACCACACCCCTCCAAAAAAAACTCACACTTTTCTACTTACCCCTAGCGGTATGTTGCCCTGCAGTTGGTTGCATTTGCTGAGGTTTGGTGTTCTCCACACTCAGATTTCTGCCACCTCCCCAATACAATGGATATGAATGGTATTGGATATATATTTTTAAAAACTCAATTTTTAACAATACCATTGAAGGAAAAATAAAATAACAAAACAATGTACCATTAGTCCCAGTTAGCAGTGGCCTGTTTTCACTGAACTAGTGTATTTTCTACCCAGTAATGACAGCCATAACTGGGACATAAGATAGGCCTATTACTGTTAATATTTTCCAAAAGTAATTTTCTAAATACTTTTAGCGCAAAACGTTTGCCTAAAGCTATGCTATGCTAAGCTATGGCTAAAAACAAAACACAAAGACTCCACATGTTAGCGTACGGCTGTACTGAGGCACAGTGGTTGGCATGGTAACATTCTCACAATGACAAAGCTAATATGCTAATGTTTAGCAAGTATAATGTTAACCACGTTCGCTATCTTAGTTTAGCATGTTAGCATGCTAATGTTTTTTTTTTTTTCCACTTTTCAGCACTAAAAAAAATATTATAAAGATTAATAAAGATTATGACCTGATGATAGCACTAGAGGAAAAGTTAAGGGATCACCAAAATCATTTAGATGCATCTTCTGGGGACCATGAATGTCTGTACAAAAATTTCAGTTCATTCAAAGGTTGTGGAGATAATTTAATCTGGAGCAAAGTAGTGAACCGACCAACCCTGGAACTGCACCGCTAGCATTGCTAATAACGGATAATAATACGTTTTCAGTTATCTCACTGTTGCTGGCCCCGTTCAATTATATAACCATTCATTGTAAATAGCTAACGCTGGATCTCCATTGCTGCTGCGGCTGCCATCGAAAAGCCTCTATAAACCTAACTCATTTAAACTAAAGTGAGTTGCACTGAATGCGATTGCTTCCAATTAAACTTTACTGAAGTGATTAGCACGGTGCAGAATTGGAGATGAGCCAGAGTGTGTTGTATCAGACAATCACCCCGTCCTCCTCAGCATCAATAATTAACACGTCCACTGTCCCTCGCAGTGTTAAATGTCATGTCAAAACCTGCAGCCTGGTTAAAAATGGGTCACCTCAGACCTGACGCTGTCACACAAGGCGGGTGTGTGTGTGTGTTTGTGTGTGTGTGTATCATGTTTCTTATGCTTACCTTTTACACACTCTCCTCCAGACACGTAGTTCTCATTAACTGGAAGAGAAATCAAAGTGTTAAACTAAGCGTAAATGTGAAAGAATACATCTGGCAAATCTACTTTACCCATGCTGAACCTTTGCAATATTTTAATGCCATATGCCATAAAACCAGGAGCAAGTGTGCACATCTGCCTACACATTTAGTGGTATACAGTACATCACATCACATATCTTCCTGCCTGTAGGTCATCTGGTGTACCTGCGCGGCTAATCTTGTCCACCTCCTCCCTGCAGACCTCCTCCACCCGGCTGCGCAGGTGGCACAGCGCTCTCCTGGCGCCGCTGAAGGCCTCTGTGGGCAGGCCGAGGGCTCGGGAGTGCCGACCAGCGGTGAGCGGGACGCACAGCAGCGGAGCCGCCTGAGCCGATACATAGACAAAGAGTGGAAAATACAGCCTGGCTTAGTGTCTACAGCCCCGCCCTCCCCTCCTCCCTCCTTAATTCCTTGTACAATTGAATTTGAAAATAGCACCAAGGCGGGAGGTGTGTTTTTCCACTGGTCACAGCTGACTCATTATCTTCCCTGTTTCTGAGTAGGTGAGCTCCTGTGTCTTCCAGGATCCATTAGATGTAAATGATGAATATCAAATGCAATAATTGGCAATGTGTTTCTTGTCTGTGAGTAGTGCTAGCTTGGTGTTGCTTTATTGGTTTAGACATGCAGCTGTTAATTTATCCATTTCCCTTCCATAATAAATGTTCCCATCAGGCCTCCAGGACGTTTTAGATAAAATCTTACATTTCCTGTGACGTTACTGCCATTTAGCTGTAGGGATTTCAAAATAAAAGACTAAAGAAGTTCACTGTGGACTTATTGGATGGCTGCAAACAACAACAGATCATTATGTCCAAAGAAAAGTACAAACTGAGCTGTATGTTCTCAGTTTTTTTGGAAGTTCCTCACTCTGAAGTTCTACTTCTCACCCTCTTTTTACCCCATTGCACCCCCCTTATAATCTTCCATCTTTACCCTCCTCACCTGTAAGAAATGTGTGTTGTCTTCGGTTTGCAGCAGCTGACTGATCTCCTCATCTCTCCTCCTCAGCTCTTCCAAATCCTTCTCCAGCGTCTCTACGTCGCGCTCGGCCCTCCCCACCACCGCTCGCTCCTTCGCCTCCAGCCTCGCTCGAACCTGTGTGCACAGAAGTAGACGATGTGATCCAGCGCGGTGTAGCACGGACGCACCAAGCAGGAATCAACCTTTCTGATGTGCAGGAAAGACGCATAACTGTAGGTGATGGCTGTACAAGATTTTATACACTCTGTCACACTGTCAATTGATAGCACTTTGGATTTTCAATTAGTGAAACCTCTTCTCTTCTGAGTAATACTGCTGCTACTGCTGCTTCTGCTGTCGCTACTTTCCCTCCTACTGTTACAACTGCAATAACATCACCGCTAATGCTTCCAGCTCCTGCTCCTCACCTCTGCCTTGGTCTTCTCCAGGCGGAGCGCCATGTCTGCAAACAGAGCTTCACTGTCCTCCAGAACAGCCGACGCTGACACCTGAAACACACACACGCACACACACACACACGCACACACACACACACACACACACACGCACACACACACAGCAGAACAGAGCAGCAGTTAGAGTAGGACAAAGTAAATACTTAAAGACACCATGAAACAGAGCTAGAAAACTGTCACTTTCTAAGAAACAGTGAATCTTTATTGGCGACCTGATCCTCTCTGCACATGAAATAAAACACAATCAATCCATCAATAAAGCACATTTTTCTAGCTCCTATATCAAATCCAACAATCCTTTGTCTTTGCAACTGATATCTCATTTCAAGATGAAGCCTTAATGTGTCTCCTAATGTCCGACTCCAACATCCTGCTTCTGCAGCAATTACTGTTTATTGGATAAAGTGTCATTTCACGGGGTGAAACACAATGTGTCATTATACAAGTTTTTCTTTCTCTACATAATTAGTATATCAGTGCATCAGTGAAAAACACTAAATACACTGTCTACACAAGTGGATGGAGTGAGGTGGGCCAATGTTTTTTATTGATTTGTCCTGCTGAGAATCACTAGTTTACTGGCAGTTTTTACTTTTTAGTGGGTGTGAAAATCCGCTGAAAACTTTCCAATGCAGGTTATTCAGATTCACGTAGCTGTGGTCAGAACTGAACCTCCGCTGTATCCAGAACACAAGACGACGCACCGACATCTAGCATCTGATAAAAGGCTAATTTTCAGTCTGATGGTTTTAGTGAGCTAATGCAGCGGTTTTCCAAGAAGCTAGAGAGCGGCCACACACTGTATGTATGATGCTCAGGGAGGAAGAGGAGGAGGAGGAGGAGGAGGAGGAGGAGGGGGAGGAGGGGGTCTTTCCTGGAAGACGGAAGGAGGGGCATAGACAATGGAACTTAAATTAGCTTTGCAGTGGAAACTGATATAATAGCTCCAGTGAGGGTGTGTGTGTGTGTGTGTGTGTGCGTGTGTGCGTGTGTGTGTGAGACGGAGATAGAGAGAGGCGAGTGTGAGAGCCTGATGTGACAGGGACAGTTGTGTAAATGTCAAGACGAGTCTATTTATACGACCTTGGGCACTGTATGGCAGATACCATACTACACTACTGTATATGAAGCATCAGATGCATGAATGGCATGAATTATTGTTACAGTTCACAATCATTGATCACAAGTATTAATCAATCCCTGGGAGCAAGAAACCTGTAGTTGTACTTGTTGGGAGAGAAAAGACTCGTTTAATCAACCTATAATAACCTGATAACTATTCATGACTGGCATAATTCTGATATCTTGACAGTCTTAACAAAATGTGTGTATCTTTGTATAGGACATATCTCGATATAATAAATATAAATGCATATTTCCAGCTTACAAACATAAGTCTGACCATATCCTGCTCTGCCTGATGCAAAGAAACTGATTCACACTTTGGTGTTTTCTCTTTGAGATTGAACTACTGCATAAATACAAGTAAAAAACAGCAAATTACACCCATTTCAGCATCTGTTCATTGGCTTCCTGTCCCTTTAGGAATGTTATTGCTAGTTTATATTAAGGCTCTGAAGGATTTAGCACCTTCAAACTCTCCTTCTACAGTGCAAGCTGCTCCTTCAGGCACAATGGACCAAGTGGAATAACGGGCCTGTAAAAATCCGTCATGCAACTTCTATTAATTCCTTTAAGAAACATTTTAAACCTGCTTTTAAAGAAACTTACTGAAATGTATTTATTTAAATGTTTTATATATATATATATATAAACAAAATCATTATTGCACAAACACACTCCAAACATGACGGCATTTTGCGGGTGTTGAATAATGACAGATAATATATTCCATGTACAGTATATTCCAGGTGATTCCTCAGTGACATCCATTAGACCACTGATGTCACTTGGGATTCACAGTTTTATGTAAATAATTAGTTGGTACCTGGAAGCTTTTGGGCCATGATGATGTGGTGTGTGTGTGTGCATCTGTAAAAACTGGATCAGCCAAGAAGAAGAGTGGCTGCCATATGTGTGTGTGTTTCTGTGTATGTGTGTGTGTGTGTGTGTGTCACCTTGAGGGACGCTAAGCTTTGTTGAAACTCCTCTATCTCTCTCTCTCCGATCCGAATCCTCCCCTGAAACATCCTCTGAGCCTCCTGGAGCTGCAGCTGAAAGACAGACAGACAGACAGACAGACAGACAGACAGAGATAGCCATTCAGGTATGTGGATGAACATTTGATTTTGTTCTGCAGTATCTATTAAAAGTTTTCACATAATAATTAGAAGAAATACTATAAGCATCTATAACGTCACAGGTTTGACTCCATGGTTGTAGATTGAATCTGAAGTGTGCTATGATACAAACCTAATTTTGAACTGTTTAGGTTGCTGTCTGTTACAGTGTGGAGGTTATTTTATCTGCTGCCAGTTTCGCTGCTGTTTGATTGGATCTTGGTTTGACCGGATGTGCATCAGAATGGAAAGGCCACGAGACACACTGTGGAATAATCTATTTTCTTCAAACCAAACCGTAATGGCAAAGTTTACTTTACTTCTTTTTGGTTGTTTGGACCCTTTGGAAACAGACTGTCCAACAGTTATATGTAAACTGTAGGGCTTATAAACACAAGTCAAACTGACTAAGAAGCAGCTCTGGTTTGTATGATGGACTTTACTTTTTTTACTCTGTCTGGTTCACAGCGTGTGAAGAAAAAGCTGAATGTGTTTTATTGTAGTATGTGAGGATCCTCTAAAAGCTCTAGATGTTAGACACTAACCAGAGACTTTGGTGTTTTAAATGTTTAAACTTCCTCAAGTGTAAAAAGTCCAGGACCACCATAATATAAGTTGGTCCTCCTCCACTGGATAGATTTGGGGAATCAATGGTATCAACACCAAACCCTCTATCCAAACCTCCGGTGTGTCTCTGTACCTGTCTCCTGGCTCTCTGTGCGTCCACATTGTGCACTTCCTCCTGGTCAGCCTCGCACAGCAGGCAGTCCCCGCTCCACTCCAAGGCGGCCTCAGCTTCGGAGCCGCTCCCCGCGGGCTCCAGACCCAGGCGGTGCTGAGCGCACAGCCGCTCCGCCAGGCACTCCACCGCGGCCACCAGCTTGTGCCGCCGCAGCGTGCCGACCTCCCGGTGCGGCAGGACGTGGAGCTCGCAGAAGGACGCCAGGCAGACCAGGCACGACTTGACCGCCCTCAGCTTGCTCTCCGCCGGGCAGAAGTCGCACGGAACTTCCCCGACTCCCACCGTGTAAAGCTCCGGCGCTGTGACCATCTCCGTCAGCTTGAGTTTGTCGACGACCTCGGCGAGCACCGTGTTCCTCCGCAGAACCGGCCGAGGGCTGAACGTCTCCCGGCACTGGGGGCAGCTGAACTGACCCGACTCCGCCTGGTCCCAGTAGTTGTTGATGCACGCCATGCAGTAAGTGTGTCCGCAGGGGATGGACACCGGGTCCTTCAGGATGTCCAGGCAGATGGGACACCTGAACTGGCTCTCCGTCACCGAGATATTCGCCTGGGCCATCTCTGCGGCGGAGTGTCCTCTGACCTCCGGTGGCTTCTCGTCCGCCTGTTGCCCCCCGGTCCCGGTGATGATCAACCTTTTCCTGACTCCCGGTTGTGTTGTTGTGAAGGGGTGGGGTCAGGATACGCTAATAGCCCTTCCGCAATGTCATCCATCCCATCATTTTAGTTGCAGAGTGGGGCCCGCAGTGCTGTCTTACAGGCATGTAAAGGATCAGTTCGCCCCGTTTTGGTTTCGTTTGTCCACATTTTCTCAGAGATTTACTTTAAAAATGTGGTTAACTGTAAAAGACCTGAGGCCTTAGTTTGTGATGTTTTTTTTCATTGCATTACGTTATATTGTAAGATTATCTTTATTACTTTGCCCAAACAAATAGGTAAGATATATGTTGATAAAATGAGCTTTACGTTTCATAGGGGTTTGTTCACAGCTCTTTTAGATATAATGAATAGAAAGACTGAAACCTCCAACAGAGCTGAGCTCAGGGTGAGCGCACATCTGCCTCCACCGGTTGGGTTTGAAATGAGAAAGAGGGGGTGGGGAAGGATAGAGAGAGAGAGAGAGAGAGAGAGAGAGAGAGAGAGAGACCAAGGACAGCAGTATATACTGCTGATTGTTAATTGTAACAGTGAAAATAATATGTATTTACAGTCTGTAATGTCCTTTTCTAATAGAAGATTTCATTGTTACTAGCAGAGTCCATCTTTGGATAATAATTGTGTAAAGGAATTACAGAAAACTGCATGTATGTTCCTCAGCTCAACAGTTTGAAATGTTGTGATAACTCTTACACCCATAACGAAGCTGTATTAAGTTACTACAATACAAACCCAGTTTCCCTACTTCTTCTGCTTCACAGTGAAAACATTTAACTGTAGAATTACTTTATTAATATTAATAAAGGCAGACTGGTTAAGCTTTTATAGAGCAATCCAGGTGTTGGTCAGCTGGATTTTATATTCCTGCAGCTAGTTTTAGCCGGATGAGCCATTTTGAATAAGGGATCCAGAACGGGTCTGGACCGAGTTAACCACTTCATGAACGGGTCCAAATCGGATCCGGTCCGAATGAGCTGCTTCATGAGCGGATACGGATGTGGTCTGGACCCGTAATCCTGATCCGTTCTGGAGCCGTCCCGCCGTGCAAGTGGACTCCGATCCGGACCGGTTTTGTCGATGATACCTCCAGGACGGATCCAGTGCGGAGTCAATCTGCTATCGGGAGGTAAAGTAGGTAATAAAAGTTCGATCTTAGAAGCGATCGTCTATATGGGGATATAGTGTTATATAGCTTCATTACATATCAACTATCAAGGACATGTACATGTGTGTGTACATGACTTGCTGTGGTTGTGGGGACACAGTTGTTTTAGAAACCATCAGTGTGAGGTTATTTTGGACAGTCGTGACAGCTTCAAAAGGCTGTTTGAGGGACAGCTGCAGTGACTGAGGTCAGTGTCAGGATGAGTCTCTACAACATGAATGAAACTGAAGGTAACGTCCTTTGTGCAGATTGAAACGAGAGGAAAGAAGTTCACGCACCAAGCAGCAGGAACATTCAAAAGTTCTCCAGGAATTTTCTAGTACTTTTAGTGTCATCCTCTACCGGAGCAATCTTCTGTAATTGGGTCATTAGTTCTGCTCTTTCTTTTTCAACTTTCTCCATGATATAAAGGTATGTTCAATGAGCGCAGCGCAGTCACCTGGATCTTAATGTGTGTTTTGTCTGTATGTTAATCAGGCTGCGCGGACTCCGTGACGGGATTGGTCAGAGCAGAGAGGAGGAGCCTCCGACTCCACAGCCGGCTTCTCCTATTGGTGCAGCAATGATCCTACCAGTCCTCGCCACAGCTGCTTCCGTTTAAGCATCAGAGGAAGAGAGTTTAAGAGCCCGGCTCGGACCTCGTTAGTGGCGGCTGACATGATAGGCAGCTCGCCTCTGTACCACCTTTGTGAACATTTGTGTGTAATTTGTGATTTGGTTTGAGATGCTGGTAGTAATTGTTGGGGACTGGGCTAGGTTTAAAATTCTGATTGTGCATCACGCCCTTAGAAAAAGACTGTTGGACACATTAGGAACAGGGGTGCTGCTTCTTGTGTTTTTGGGTTGGTTAGAATCTCATAGTTTTTGGTTTGGTTTTTGGTTTTCTTTTTAGGTTAAAAATTACTTACTTTAGTTGTCCTCACCTTGTTTGTATTTTTGCTTACTTATTTACCCTCCTGATTATGCAATAAATTTGATTTACCAATAACACCTGGTTTTATGTTGCTTCCCTTTTCCCCTAGCTGGGTGGTAACATAAGGACTGCCAACATAAGGTGACTGGGGAATTCGCCAGAAACCAACATGGCAGCTGTGAACTGAAACCTGGTTCTGTGAGCAGTCCACAGTCAGTAAGTGAAATATTTGGTGAGTAAAATTTCCCTGGCTGTTGTATCTTCTTTGCTTGCAGAAATCAACTGCCTGGTACTGGATGTGAGTCCCACAGCGTTGGAGGTTTTCTTTTCTCAGCAGGGTGGTTCCACAAAGGGTTTATATCTTGATGCTTCATGTGAGCAGTGCAACATCTACTGGTCTGAATGCAAAATGGGCAAGTACAAACGTTTGTATATCACAAATTGAATGCAAGTATAAGGGGAAAGCATGATTGTATTTTATATTCCAAGCATATAAAAGCAAATCAAAATATGTTTTGTATGCATCAAATGTGTCAATATCAGTCAAGTTAAGCTCAACGTCTTTGTTTTAACTCAAGTGTCAAAACTGTTAGTTGGTTTACAATGTGGGCAAAGAACATGTAGCTTTACTTTTTAAATGTCAGCTTTGGCGGTTGTGCTGTAAAGGTGTAATTTAAGATGTGGCCAGAACTTTAGTTTAAAATGTTCAAAAAAATTAATTAACACGATCAACGGTGTGTGAAGCGGCCACAGTGATGATATCATGATCAAGCTCTACATCTGTTGTATTTCAGCGTTATCTACTGAAATGCGCATGCGCACCAGCCAGCCCCGACCTGTCTTGTGTTGTAATGCCACTTTGTGACACCAGAGGCTGTGTGAGTCAGCGGCGCGTCAAGTCTGCTCTCAGTCCCACGAAGAAGAACGACTTCGGCAGAGCTTGAAGTTAGCGTGACAGAAACACAGGAATGGCTGAACCTCCTAAAAGGCGATATTCATCTCGAAGGACCGCTCCTGACAAGAAACCACGTTCAACGCCAAAGAAAAGAAACAACACGAGTAACCCTCGATGTGCCTTTCCACCGCTGGAGACAGCTCCTGAGAGTGAAGAGATGCGGTTTGATGCCGAGCTCGCAACTGTCCTGTTAGCCCGGTGAGTAGCATCAATGTTAGCCTTTAGCTAAAAGTATAATCAGTGCAACGACTGACAAACCCTAGCGACAAACATTTCAAGTGGTGATATTGATGTTGTTACTAGCATTGTGTCGGTTGCTCTCGGCTGTTGTACAGCTAATTACGCCAGTAACTTCAGGCTCATTTTGTAACTGACTGTAACTCAAGATTGTATGGACCCAGTAGACCGAGTGAATACACGTCGATCGGTTCACCATGTTGTAACCACTTTTACATTACTGTTAGATCAGCCATGATTGAAAGTGCACTAGGTCTTTACATTTCTCAGGAGATTTAAGAATACCTCTGTCTTCATCAGGACCTGAGCCATGACAGATGCAACACCGCCTCCACCTGTCTCACCAACGGCAGAGACACAGTGAGGGGAGAGTCTAGGTGAGTAACATGCCATCATTCACTTTTAAAAGTAAGACATGTCTATACCACAGTGATTAAATCAGACCCTCAATGTATACATATTCATACTGCTGATTCTGAATAATGAATATACCACTGCCTATATTGGTTATGCGTTTTACAGTATATCCGTATTTGTACTACTAATTTGTTGGTTATATAGTGTGTGTGTGTGTCCATTGAATGTTATACCTCTAGTTGTTGTTGTTGTTTTTCATTTTCTTGCAATTAGATTTCATAATCATACTGTTTATTTTTGCATATTATCTATCTCACAATGTAACCTTACATGTTTGAATATAAAGAACTTGTATGATTTTAAAGGAATTGTCCTATCACATGTTTGTCTGTCAGGAAAAGAATTCCAGTCTAATCTTCACCAATGATGGACCAGCACCTGCCTTTTCTTCTGCATCTGGCCTCATCAATCAACAACCACATTACATCAACACCTTGAGGTATTATCCCTGTACATAACAGATTGTCTATACTGTGATCTTTTGCACATTCCCTAATCAATACCTTTTGCACATCTTGCCCAGCAGGAGTTTTGCCATTCTAAAACACTCTTGTACATAGTTGTGTATCATTTTCATTGTTTTATGTATTTATATTTGAGTGTTGCAATATTTTACCTTTTATTGTTTCCTGTGAATGTTAATTGGATACTACACCAAGTCAGATATCTTGTAAATGAAAACCTACCTGGCAATAAATCTTATTTTTGAGTCTGCCTTTGTGATGTCGTCATACCTTCCTCATGCTGCTATAGCCTGCCAAGGCCAACATGTGTCATGCAGTATCCCCTTGCCTTCATAATTCTGCAAGTTTATGAAGGTTACAAGTAGACTTCAGATCGTATTTTCACACCTCAATTTAAATTCTACTTGTAACCCCAGTGTCACACACTTGCAGGAATTTTGAGCACCAAGTTTTAGTTTTGTGCTTTGCATGTGTACACAGAAGCTCTTTCTCGTCCAGTTGCCTCACCACTGTGTCTCTCTCTCTCTCTCTCCACTCTCTCACCACAGATTTCATTCATCTATCTTTTTTTTTTTTTTTTTTTTTGTGCAGTATATGCTATATATGGACGGTTTAAATTATGATTGCATCTTTTATGTTCTGAAGTCCCTAGACTGCTTTAAAAACATAGTGAAAAGAGGAGCTGGTTGACATGTTCTTATTTTTCCTTTTGTGTTTTCATAGGGATGGCAGAATCCACCTCAGGCAAGAAATGGTAAGTCCTTTGAAAGCAGTTTGTGTAATTGCATTTCCACACAGATCATAGATAA